TAATTAGTTAGTTAACTTATGAACAAGCCCTTAAGAGGGGTGTATTGTAACAGAAATTAAATTTCACAGGCAACTTAAACCTAAGATAAAATTCCTGGAGGTTGATATTCTTCAGCCCCTATGGTGCCAGTCATGGAAGGCAGCCTTTCTTTACAGATATTTGACAATCAACACTGTTCAAAGATATTCTTGCACACATCTGGACTGGATGTGAGCTTGAAGCTAGACCTCCTGGTTCAAAGGAAAGGGACACTAGAACCCACAAACTAAGTGCTCAACTTAGTTAACTCCCTTCACCCATTTATCATTAACCTTGATAATACAGTTAACATACCATTAATATTCTAGACATTACCTGTAAACTGACCCATACAGAGGTTGAAAGGCTCAGACTTCACTAAAGTGAGCACCTAAATTTTGTGCCAGTGCTATCCAGAACCAAGACTAATACAAATGATCAAATTAAACACCTCCATTATTGGAAGTGTGGTAATTGAGAGCTAATGTATTACACTAGTTGCGGTATGACTATAGACTAAATTCTGCCACCATGTGCAGAATTACTTGATAATCAACAGCAGGCGTGATGTTTCAGTCCAACATTTCACTTAGGAAGCACTTCACCGTCAGAAGTGCTGATTCTAGATACCACCCTGCGTGCATCAGTTTTGGTCGTAATCCTAATTTTCCAGTGAAAGACTTGAACATAGAGTAATTTGACTCAGAAGTGAGAAAGTGTGACTTGATGAACCATCTCTGACTCTTTTCTAATTTAATAGGTCCCACTTACAATCCATTGTGAATTGTGAAATTATTTACAAATTGTCAAATCTGACTAAAACAGTTTATTTCACTAAAGCAGTAAAAACACTCAGTCACTGCTATTAGAATACAACGTAGGGCAACTGACCTACCATGCTGCACTGTGTCATGGGACAGAGTTTTAACTTCACTATTAAGCTCAGTGGCACTTCAAATTGTTAGCCACAAATTCTTGTGTAACTTCAGACAATATTCTAATTTAGGTAACATCCGCATGTAACAGACACTATTTACATCAATTGATGGAATATCACTTTTATTTTATATGCAGACTTTAATTATACAAATCCCAATTTAAACAAAAAAGGTGCAAAACAACTGACATCAGTTGTAATTGCATCTCTTAAAGCAGTTAAAGAATGCTTCCTTCTTTAGAATGATAGTACAGTCATCTGAAATACAGTGTATAATTCTGGGTGCCTGTTACAGACAGACCAGTGACTACAATTGTCAAAGTAATCCCCAGTTCTTGTGATAGTATTAACTGCTTTACACAAAGGTTAGTGAAACTGTACCACAAATGGCCTGGAGACAGAGACTGCAATAGAAGTAGATTCTTATGGTACAATGGCATTCAGATGCCTGAACACTGTCCAATGAGAAACTTCACTAGCCCACTTGTTAGGCATCTAGGGTGGCTACCTAAAATAGGCATTAGTTTCTTTCAATTTGGAAAGACAGACTGCAGTACCTGTCTTAAGAATCCTTGTGGTTGCCCTGGGATCTAATCAAATTTAAAACATTAGGGTGTGATGTCACTGAGTCAGTGACAGTTGAATTCAGCTACACTTTTTAAAAAATTGATACAGCGAGAGAGTGTTCTGTCTGACTCCAGTACCCCAGCAGCTGCCACTCACTGGAACTTTGTCAATAGCATCACCAGGAAGGCAGCCAGGTAGAAATTGAACTTTTGCATCTCCAAATGGAGTTACTACCTAGAAGCAGTTGCAGCTTCATCCTGACAATAATGAAACCCGAAGCCCAGTTTCTCATGAATCTTCAGGCTTTGGGTAAAATAAAGTCGTTCCCTGCATCCATTTGATGCCACAGCAACTGGCCAAGCAGATCAATGGTGGGACTGACCAGATATCTGAAGGAGTATTAAGTGACAGGGCTATTTGTGTTTAGAATTAGACAGATGCCGTTGTTCTATTGAATTTACTCCTAGTGACCTATGGATTACCAGTTTCCATTGCTCCCCATCAGTAACAGCACCCACTGCCTGAACCCTACATTCTGGAATTCTCTCTTTAAACCTTTTCATCTTGCCAGCTCTCTTTCCATCTTTAAAACTCTTCTTAAAGCTTAATTTGATTGACCATTAGTCATCCGGTGGATGTGTGTCAGGTTAGGGGTTAAGATGCTCCCAAACAGTATATTTTAGACAGTTCATTAAATTGAAAGGAACAATACAAATACAAGTTGCCGTTTACTGAACTTTTACAAAACTTCATGCTGGTAGTGAAGAGATCACCTGCCAATTGCTTGAGAAGGTGCAAGTAAGACTTTTGTCACAAGGGGCATGCTCAGCTGCTTCTGATGGCAGGGAAGATCCAACCATAAGTTTGGGGCTGGAGACTCCAGGCCATACCAGGCAAGGTATCTGATTTTCTCCCCTATTGAAAAGGCGGAAAGCTTGCCATTTGTACCTCATCTTACAACAGTCCCGCAAACAGATGATTCTTATCCTTTTAAATAAAAGCTCTTGTAGTTATTGGTGATACTGGTTCCACAAAATATGAAAAAAAACAATATAGAAGGAAATCACAAAATAAAATTCCCAAAACACCGACAGAAATCCCTTCTCAGGAGCTTTATCAGTTAAAATTTGACCATACCACAGGAGGAGATGGGTCAAGTAAGCAAAAGCTTCAAAGAAAGAGGTATTAAACGTGTCTCAAAAGGAGGCAAGAGAGGCAGAGGGGTTTAAAGAGAGAATTCCAAAGCTTAAGACGACAACATTGGTGAGACAATTAAAAACAGGATGTTTAAGAGGCCAGAAGTGAAGGAGCACTGAGCTCTGAATTTTTTAGGGCTGGAGGGGGAAATCCTACAATTGATGCAATTTTAAAATGGAATTTACAGCCAAGAAACTGGCCACGTATCTCTTTGGTTCCAGGCTGTTATTCATGTGTCACATCAATTCCTTCCAACTCAAGATAGCAAGAACTGCAGATGCTGGAGTCAGAGTCAATACATCGTGGAACTGGAGGTCAGGCAGCAGAGGAACAGGAGTGCTGATGTTTTAGGTCAGGACCCTTCATCAGGATGACCCAAAATATCAACTCTCCTGCTCCCCTAATGCTGCTTGACCTGCTGTGCTCATCCAGCTCCACACTGTATTGACCCTTCCAACTTAATCTTGTTCCATTGTATAGCTTTCTATTCTTTCCTCCACTTGTATTTTTCCACTTTCTTCTTAAATGCATTTACATTCTTCACTTTAACCACTCCACGCGGTAGCAGTTCCACAATCTCACTCGGTGCAAAGAAATTTCCCCTGGAATTCTTATCTGGAATTGTCAGTGATTATCTCACATTCACCGACCCTCGTTCCGACCACCCTACAAGTGGCAGCATTTTCTTTACACCTGTCAAAGGTCACAAACAGGTCATCCCTCAGGTTTTCTAAATTTCATAGAAGATACCTTATACCAGTGAGTAATGGTCCCAATTGCCAGTAGATAGAACAATAGAAACCACTATACAGTCTCACTCACTCAAATATTCTGGGGAAATTCTATAGAATGAAGGAATATTTATGCCTCCAGGAACTCATAGACAATCAATCATGAAGGGTCAAAACAGCAGGAAGTAATTTCACCAAAACAAAAACACCACCGATAAGATTTAAGAAAATCCCACATATTAAGAGCAAAACATGGGTCATTGTACTACATCTGATTTAATAATGATAGACTTTCATTTATATAGTGCCTTTCCTGATCTTCAGCCATCACTAATCACTTTACAGCCAATTAGAAGCTTATGGGGCAGGCTGAGTGTACAATAACACTTCCAGATTTAAAGAGAAAATAAAATTAAATGCTAGAGGATTCTTGTGGCATACTGTAGTGTGCACCAGAAGGCCTGGTTCAAGTCCTACCTGATCCAGAGGTGGGATTAATCAGAAGCTACCATGAAATGATTACGAAGGGTAGTCACTGTTGCAAGCTCAGGAACATGGCAGCCAACCTACAAAGCTGATTCACACAAACAACAATAGAAGACCAGGTTTTAAGTGTTTAAAATGTGCATCTCATTTGGGCCCTAAATAAACAGTAGTGAAAGGGAAAAGTCCCCAGTATTTTTTTCCCCCACGAATAGAAGCGCAGGATCTTTCACATTATGGTCACACAGAGCCTTGAGGTAACGCCTCATCAGAGAGGCGCACCTCAACCAAAATGTTGCGCCCAAGTTTCTGAACGGGACTTCAATCCATAATCTTTCGAGTCCCGAGAAGCAGACAGCCTAATTACCACTTCAGAGCTGAAATTCAAATACCACGCAATTCCATAGTTTCTTTCAGGCGAGCTGTCCTTTCCCGAATTAAGCACTGCACTTCCCAACATCTACATCACGTTTACATTACAAACAGAGACTCACAAATGCATGAGGTTGGCTCATCAACCCACGAAATAACCTGGCCGTCCCGATTCCAGTTTGAGAAACAAACGTCAGATTAACAGCTTTTTTTTTTAAATAAAGAAGGTCCAAACGTTATTTTGGATTGTAATCTCCGCAGGGAAAACACATTTCCGAAGATGCTTCTTAAAGAAAAAGACCTCACATTTAAAATAAAACCTTCCCCACTGTTGCTTCCTGGTCCATTCTAACTGGGAGCTGTCCACGCCCTGAAACACAATCTCTGCCACTTCCAGCCACCACCAGAAACGCACATACACAAATAATCTGCAATTAAATCAAATTAAACCCAATTCTCAGTGTTACTCACGCATCAGTGGGGGATTGGAGAAAAGCTCCCGGTGTCTGCTATAGCAAACCTGGCTGTTTCTGTATCTTATTTCCCACCCCTTTTAAATGCTCAAAGATGTCCCTTCCTCCTCCTCCTCCTCCTCCTCCCTTGGCTCATCAGCTTTTGCATTTCAGATCAAACATTGCCGGAGAGCACGGACAGCACAAAAGCCACGACTTGAAATCGGTGGTAGTGGTAGTACCTCTGCTTTACCTGAAATTGGGAGGCGAGCTGATGTGGAGTCCCAGAAAGGGAGAGGCAGCCGGCGAGTTCATGGACTCTGCATCCGCCATTCTCCATACAGAGCCCCCGAAAGGCGCTTTCACTACGTCAGACCGGGGCAGACTTCAATGCAAAGCGAGCAGCTTTAAACCACTTTGCACACCGGCACCTATCACCGCGAGAGGGTCCACACACTCCATAGGCCTTCCTTCGAAGAGACACTTCCTTCCCTTGTTGAAGCTGGAGGCACGGTGTCTGCTGATGTGGTGCACAGTGATACGACGTGATGGGGGTGACACCAGAATTGGAACAGCTCCACCCCAACCAACCCGTGCTTCCAGCTGGCGGAGAATTCATTGAAAACCAGTCACTAGGGATTGTTAACCACCCCGCTCCCCCACGAATGTCTACATTCTCCAGGAAGTTGCAGATTCATCTTCCAAAACAATTACAGGAGAGGAGGGATCCAACAAAGACATTTCTTTGAATATTTCCATTGTATTAGTTAGAGAATTATTGGAGGTGAGGAAGGGAACAGACAGCAAAAATTGACCTAAATGGAGCCAGTTGTAGCATGTCAATATTTAAAAGTATTATTCACTCTGAAGATGCGCACATTACTGGCAATGCCAATGGTTATTGCCCGTCCTTACACATTGCACTTCAAACACTATTGGTAACATGGCCCAGGAGGGGACTGGGGCTCTTCTCATGCAGTGGTAATGTCTATACCTGTGGGCCAGGAGACCCAATTCCAAATCCCACCTGCTCCAGAGGTGTGTTACAACATCTCTGATCAGGTTGTAGAAAATATCTGGTCCAGGAGAAGAGGGTACCTTTAAGCTCCAATAACTGGACTCAGGGCTCTAGGAGCTGATTATGCTCTGGTTAGAGCAACAGCACCAGGACTTGTGATTTCTATCCTTACTCCTGAGTGGTGAATCACCTCCTTGAATTGTTGGCGATTATCTGTGTAGGTACCCCACAGGGCTGTTAGGATAGGAGTTCCAGGGTCTCTGACCCAACGATATTGAAGGAATTGTGTTATAGTTCCAAGTCAATTTGGTGTGTAGTATAATGCATGCTTAGGTGGTGCTATTGAAGGAAGCTTGGCAGGATTTTCTGTGTCTTTTCACCTCAGCCACAGCACTAACATTCTGCTTTCCATTTCCCAGAACAATCTCTGAGGACAGACGCAATGATGACATCCTCCTTCCTGTAAAAAGAAGGATCTGTAGTTAAAAGGGACCCCAGTGTGCTCAGTGTGGCTGATTTCTACATTGCGGTTAACTGGAGACTCAGGAAACCAAATTTGAATATTGCACTGCTTTTGGATTCTTCCCTGAAGTACTGATTCCTGCAATGGGAAAAAGAGGACTAAGCAGGTAACAATGGAAGTGGTCAAGGAAGTGAGGAATGTGGTTCCTCAATCCTGGAGACTATGCACTAACAGATTCAATAATTTCATAAGGGCAGGAAAGGCAAATGACTTCCACTTTGAAGTATCAAGCTCCACCTTCCTCACTTCCCCAGCATTCTCCTCATGGGCTCCTCAGAACAACACATCTTCCAGTTCTGCCCATTCCTCTGACAACGTATCTTTTCACATCCCAATCAAAACAGCTAAGACTCCCGTTCACCCTCAGCTTATTGCTGTCATGCACCATGCCTCACAATCCTTGTCTACCACTGTTGTTATTCCATCCTCTCCTTTTAATCCATTTCTAACAAACATTGCTCTGTTTTCTGTCCTTGAATGTGAAGCAAATACAAAACATCAGGGGGAGGTAGAGATGAGGCTAGCCCTTCAGTGAAGAACACCTTGACAGCCATTGGCAATGTATGCCTACTGGATCCACTGCAAAGGATGGGTCATCATGACCAAGTGTGAAAACCTGAGCTTTCTGAGGCACTGGTGTTCTGCGAAACCTGATTTTGTATTGAGGGTCTTACCTTCTTCCGGATGCGGAAATTCCCTCTGTCCTGAGGAACATATGGCTGAGGAGAAAGCAGCTGCTTCTGCTCTTTTGCTTCATCTTAGTGCAAGGTCCAAACTAGTGCTACATATGGTGTAGTGACAGCTGACGCTGAGCAAGTTGAGTGAAATCCAAGAGAAGTAAATTGACTTCCAAAAACCTTGAAGCAAAAAGAAGTCAGTCTCTCTGAACAAGAACTGTAAGGACTGGCTTTTCCAGTACACTGGGCAGCAGCAGTTGGCTTCACCTTTATTTAAAGGGTTTCCAACATGTCAGTTTCACTGATTACTGATTCCCTCCTACACTCTCGCATTATTGACCTTAATGAGTTCCTCATAATTTGCCAAATTTGTGTACTGTCTGTAAATTTGAGCCACAATTTTGGCCTTAAACAATCAGGCCCCTTTCTAAATATTGAAATTGCTGACCTGGCAGCTCTTCAAGGATGTCCTATTCACCTCCAAGCACAGCCCAGAAATAGAGAGGAATCTGTTGACTTCTGAGCCCAGAAGCAATATAAATTGTCAGTGTGGTACAACACACACTGAGGCATTCCACCCATTATGCCTCTCTGGCTATCTGTAAGAACTATCCAATTGATCCTAGTCATTCCTCTTCTCAAGGGCTTCATTATTTTCCATTTTAAGAATTGAAAGTTAACATTGAATCTTTTCTCACCACTATTTCAGGCAGTGTATTCCAGATGTTAAAAACTGGTCTTTTATATTCTGTTCTGGGCACCTCAATTTAGGAAAGATGTGAAGGTCTAAGAGAGAATGTAAAGGACACTTATCCCTGGAAACATTCTTATGAAGAATTCAGTTAATTGTACAGATTGGATAGGCTAAGGTTGTTCTCCCTGGGTTGAAGATTGAAAAGAGATTTGACAGAATTATTCAAAATCATGAAGGGTCAAGTTGGAATAGACAAGAGGAAACTGTTCCCATTGTTGTTATATATTAATTGTATCCAATTGTATGCAGGTAGTAGGCATTAACTGGAATACTTTGTAGTTATCGGCTTGGAAAGTACAAGTTTGAAATGTTTATCTCTGTAAATAAATGCTGATAAGTGGGGCAGCACGGTGGCTCAGTGGTTGGCACCTGGGTTGGATTCCTCCCTCAGGCGACTGCCTGTGTTGGGTTTGCACATTTTCCCCGTGTCTGTGTGGATATCCTCCGGGTGCTCCCATTTCCTCCCACAGTCCAAAGATGTGCAGGCTAGGTGGATTGGCCATGCTAAATTACCCGTAGTGATCAGGGATGTGTAGATTAGGTGGGTTATAGGGGGATGGGTCTGGGTGGGATGCTGCAAGTGTCGGTGTGGACTTGTTGGGCCGAAGGGCCTGTTTCCACACTGTAAGGATTCTATGATTCTACGAAAAGTTTGTAAGGAAGTCTCTAGCTGAATTTCTGCAGCATAGCACCTGTTGACAGGATTCAAAACCAGAGAATACACATTTCATGTCATTAGCCAAAAAATTAAAAGTGACAAGAGGAGAAAAGGATGTTATAGTGAGTGATTACAATTTGGACAGTACTGCCTGAAAAGGTGTTACTGGCAGAATAGGTCATGACTTTCAGAAAGCATTTAAATAAGAGCTGAAAGGAAAATATGTTGCAGGGCTTCAGGAAAGGGTTGAACAGACAAGATTGCTCTCACAGAGACATGACATAGGCTCAATGGATCAAATTCTCTACTGTAACCATTCTACAATTCTATAACTAACCAAATAAAATGTAAATGTCTCCAAGCACCAGATGGTGTCCTGGCTTTTTGCTCAGGTACTAGAACCAGGGGAAGCCAGATCTTACTCTGATGATCCTGAAAACGTTTCAATTATGTTTGGGCTTTTACCACTATGGAATATGGGTCATTTTATTCTATATCTGGAAGTACTTTCATACACAATCAAATGGCTTTTACCACCGCTAAATCACCCGTGGCAGATTTTACCTATTAACTGCTACCGTTATATCACCTATGTTTCCAGTTGTTCAAATTACATGCAGAACCAATTAATGGTGATGAATAGGGATTATTCTTTTATTCCGTTATTTATATCCAGGGAATATGGGTCATTCGATTTGTCAGTTGCTTCAGAACACCTAATACCAATATGACTTTGATGACTTATAATACATTATTTGTCCTTCACTTATACTTTTAGATATTGGTAATCTGTCACTTTACATCAATAATTTCCTTCTAATATATTCCATTTGTTCAATATTTATTAAGGGTATTAGAACAGGTGTATAATTGTATTTGAATTATGTAACGAATGATAAGAAAATAATATTTTAGATATTTTTAATCAACCTGATAAGAAATGTTATGTCACACCTCTGGAGTAGGTGGGACTTGAATCCAAGTCTTTTGGGTGAGAGGTAGAGACATGTACCGTCTTGTCCTCCCATCTTCTAAGTTTTGTGTACTAACAGTCTCTGTTATCTCCCCTGCACAACTTCTTAAAGTCATTCCATTTGACATTAAATCTCCTTTTCTTTAACATTTAATCTCTGTAACATTTAATTTGCCATGTGTCTTGCCAATTTTCCAGTTTATTTATGTTTTCCTGAAGTCTCTTACTATCCTTCTGATTGCTCACAGTGTTTCTAAATTTTGAACTCACTGCAAACTGCCTCCTGTACCCAAATTTAGATAATTAATGTATATTAAAAGGAACAATGGAATTTAACCCTGATAAATGTGAGGTGATGCATTTTGGAAGAAGTAACAAGACAAGGGATTACTCAATGAATGGCAGGACACTAAGAATTTCAGAGGAACAAAGGGATCCTGGGGTACTTGTCCACAAATCGCTGAAGGTGGCAAGACAGGTTAATTAGGGTAGTTAAAAAGATAAGGCACTTGCCTTTATCAGTCATGGCATAGATTATAAGAGTGGGAAGGTTATGTAGGATGAGGTTATTACCTTGCTTGCCAAGCTGGCTGGTTATAGTTCAAACGTTTTGTCACCATGTTAGGTAATATCATCAGTGTGGCCTCCAATGAAGCGATGTTGTTCTACTCTGCTTAGTATTTAAATAATCCAGTCTGTTGAGGTGTTTTGTGTCATTTCTGGGGTTTTTTTGGGGTCTAATTCCACATGTTTATTGATAGCATTATGGGTGGAGAACCAGGCCTCTAGGAATTCCTGTTTGTGTCTATGGTTGGCTTGAGTTAGGATGATCACGTTGTCCTAGTTAAATTGATAGCCTTCATTGTCTGAGTGTATTGAAATGAGCAAAAGTTTAATGTTTCATTTTGCTGCTAGTGTTCATGTATCCTGATGGCTAGTTTCCTTCCTGTCTGGCTGATACAATATCTTTGGCAGTCGTTGCACAGTATTTCGTACATTGATCCTGCGTGTCGTG